TTTTTTTTTTCTTTGCTTTAAAGTTCAAATTGATTTTTTTTTTTTTTTGCTTCTGTTTTTATTTTGATGATTTTGATTTTTTATTTTTATTTTCCATCAAACTGAAAAAAAAAAACAAAGATTTCCAATCAAACAGGCGCACTATGAGTGTTTTTTCTTTTTTGTTTCGTTTCTTTTTTTTGTGGTGAAAAATTATTTATTTTCATGTTTGATGGTTTCCTTTTTTTTTTTCAGTTTATTCGTCTCTTCATCGCTACGCCAATTTTGACCCATTTACTTGCTTCATAAACATCATCATCATCATCGTCGTCATTGTCGTTATCATCTCAACATTGGCTGCTTCTGCACCTCCTTTTCAGTTTCCTTGCACTATTGCTTCTTCTTCTTCTTCTTTTTCTTCTTCTTCTCCTTCTTCTGCCTCTTCCTCTTATTCTTCTTGTCCTTCTTCCTCCTCATTTTCTTCATCCACTTTTACGTCAACTCCCACATACTTTTTCTATTTCTTCAGCCATCGTTGCTATCATAACAACAACAACAGTCTCGCTTATTATAGAACCAAGAAAAAATTGAGAAGCAAATGGGAGAAAAAAAAATAAGTGTTAAAAAGTACTACTCTCTTTGTCAAAAAAAATTTTTTTTTTTGTAAATTTGGTGTTGCACTTTTGACCAAAAAGAAACAGTAATATTACTAAATAAATAAATGGAAAAAATAGTGTTTTCAAAAAAATTTATTTTCTATCTTTGATAAACGACAAAAAAATGTTCCTTTTCTTTCCGCTTTTTGCTTCCTTAGCTATGGGTATGCCTTCTGAGCTATCTGAGCGAATAGATTTGGTTGTATTATTGAGCAGGTCAGGACAAAAAAAAATGTTGAATAGAACTGTTTCAAAAATTTTCTTCAACCGTCTTACAGTTGTTATTAATACTCGTCAGGACTTTTGACCAAAAAACACCATGACACTGTTTGTAATCTGTAAATTAGCCATGTTTAATAATAGGTACCAAAGAGTGATGCTTTTCACGTACCGTGGAATTGTAAAGTTTAAGCTTGAAATTCTTGAGTTGTCTGTTGCACTAAAACGACTGTAAAATAAGGCTGAAAAAAAAAAAACATTTTTTCACTCCAAACTTAAGAAAAAGCTTGAAACCTTAAAATTCTTCTGGTACAATTTTTTAACGATGACAATAACTGTGATTCAGCTTTCATTTATACTGTTTGCTGTTTGTTTGTTTAACTCCATTTCCTGTTGTAGTTTCGGCCCTTTCAAAGCAGCCTTGGTGATGAAAAAAAATGGAAAAAGGAATTCCTTTTTGCAACAAATTTCAATGAAGAATAATGGACCAGGTCGTGTACACTAAAACTTGCGACTATTTCAAATATACCACAAAAAATTCAGAAAAAAACTGGCAAAATTTGCAACGGGCCAAATAATGTAGTTCTGTTGAGTTTTAATAATTTAATAAGTCAATTGAATAAGAAATAAATGATTGAAGTTACGCCGCCCATATAGCATTCTAAAAGTTGTATTAATTTTATACAACATCAGTAAGCTAACACAGTAATTAATTATCAGCTAAACACAGAAACCAATACCTGCTTATTACAGACAAAAAAAAAAGTTGGAGAAGAAAAAACGATATGTACAGATGATATTGACGGTAAAAAAAGGAAACATTAGTTTCATCAAATTTAAAGGTCATCAACGAAACTACAGAGAGAAACGATTAGACTTCATACAGTTGAATGACAACAAAACTTTTACGAAGATTATTATGATCTGTAATCATTTGTGCACCTTTCTGGAATGCAGTCAAATTTTGAGCCATTCTTCAGAATTCGGTAACCATGTTTACAGTCGCTAAGGCCATTCGGTAATGGACGAGGACAACAGACCTGTAGAGGATTACAAGATTCATTTATCGCATCTGAAAACAAAATAATTATTAGGACAAATTTTTGATGTAAAATAAATGGCTGACTTAGTTCAAAAAATAAATAAACAAATAAATAAAGAGAAATAACGTAACCGAATAACACGTTCATGAAAGACGATAGTGCTACTACAATACCTTTGTCATTTTCCGATTTCTCTTGTGCCATTTCAATAAACCCTTCAAGAGTATTATCATTTGCCACCAATCCTTGATTCCCTGATAACAAGTAAGAATTAGACAGTTATACAAGAAAGTGAAAAATATAAGTACTATAGCATAAACTGATACACTTTAATAATGTTTATACAGTTACTCAAAAAATCACTAAACAAAAGCCTGGCTTACCATGGGTTTGACAGTCATTCAATTCAACATAGTCAACCTTTTGATTCAATTCGGCCTTAAAATAGTTTGGACGAGTACGAGCCGAATGAATGTTAAGGATACAGTTAAGGGCCGGATATTCGTAAAAATGAATTGCTGACCGGCATTCAAATCCATAGTCTTCCTAAAACTACTGTTTCTAACATCACTATGTTTCAAGTTTATTTTCGCTCTTTAATACGATAGTGACAGGAAAGGTTTAGCTTTCATTTACTTTTCTAGTAAGGACCAGATATTTATTAATATACCGCAGATCTCAGGCACATTTCAACACACGCACTATGCGTTTGAGCATCTAAAACTGCTGTCGCATGACCGCTGAGCACGTATTGAGGTACCCGTCGGAGAGAACCCTCACAATTTTGCGTCAAAACTTCTAGAAAAAAATGCTGTTAAATGAAGTAATTCTGTTATTAAGCAGCATTTGCAAGATATTAGAAAGGTCTGTGACGCTATAGAAGAGTTAAGGGTTTACCTGGAAGACAAATTTTTTCAAAATAAATTACATCTTTGTTTGGCTCATATTGAGCACTTCCAGATGGTGTTATAGAATTATCAAAAAATGAACACCGCTGCTGCACCCGATCGTATTGAGCAGAACGGCAAGTTGTTGAGAGTCGAGTCCCATTTGCCTGCAATGAACCTCCAATATTCTACGTTACTGTTATTAGAAACCTAAAAGCTGTAATTGTTTTGTTCTGAAATAATCAATTTAGAAAATTTTTTAAATTGCGAGCTCAGCTATCATCATAATTCGATAAGCATTGAGACCTGTAAATAGCATTAAAAAAATGAGTGCCCTCCACACTTACGTGATTCTTCTTACAAGCATCTAAACAAATTTCTGGAGTATTAGCAGCAAATGATATTGACGCTTTCGCTTGCATTTCTATGCCCTGAACAATTTCAAATCGTACGATAAAGTCGGGAAGACAGTCTGAAATGTAATACACTGACTTTTGAACCAAGTAAGATAAATGTTGATAATTTCGCGTTCTGGTTGAAGAAGCAAACCTCAACTTATCGAGTTGTTCTGTAGATTTCTTTAGAAAAAAAGTCGTTTGGTTCACCATTACTACGAAGTATAATAGTAATTTTATTTTGAACTCTTTTCCACAAAAAATACATTTACATAACTGGTTAAGACTAAAGTCATAAATTTTGTTACAATTATTAACAGCAACCAGCCTAAAGAGCTGCTAAAAAAAAACAAAATATTAATGCGTAAAACCTGAAATTTTTTCAGCTTTTTTGCCCCTTGTATTTGACTGTAATGTCCCATAGCGTGCTGAATTTTTTGTCGCATAATCTGATGGTATCTCTTCAATTGGTTGCATAACAGCAGCAGTTTTTGCTCCTGAATAATGCATATTTGATGGCTTTCGACCGTTTATCGAAATTTTTCCATTTAAACTGTCATTATCCTTCGGCACTGATTCGGGTTTGCACTTTGGGTCAAATGCGATCAGAGTGCTGCCAATTGACGGAACCAATAATGGTTCACAAGTTGACGAATATTGTACCCTTAAAGAGCAAAGGTAAGTAGATTAATAGAAATTACTGCGGTAATAGGGTTAATTGAAAACAAAATTGAAAAACCAAAACATTATTGACTGCCCAGAAAATAAAAGTTTAAACGATAAACAGACAGAAAAACAAAATTTGAAATAAAATGACGAAGACTCTGATTAAATATTTTGTTAACGAAATAAACAGAGAAAACGAAAGCGTTAACATATCAAGAAAAACAGAAAAAAACAGGAATTTCATTTTTTTATTTACTTATTCATTGGAGACGACTGAGTTTGTTTGTTGTAGATATGTCTTTTTGCCAGATCATTTCTTCCTGAAACTTATCAAAACATGTAGACATCACTCATCAAGATTAAAATTTCGCCGTGGAAAAATCTAAAATGAATCAACAAAAAGTTTAGTTACCTCTCAAAACCGAATTCATCTCAATTACATCGTCTAAAAATCTGGAGGTGCTCAACAGCTCACAAGACGATCTATAATGAGGTTGATCAATCACATTTTTCAGCCATTAATACATTATCAAACTTTTTTCAATACACTGAGGAAACAATGAATGTTAGACCAGTGCAAAATTAAACAATTATCTAATCGAAGAAACTTATAAACTTTTTAAAGTAATAGAAAATGTATATAAAACTGATCAAGATGAAACAAGACATTGATGTCAAAGCAATGACAAACTTTTTTTGATCATATTGACAACTAGCTACTTTCCCATAATTTTCTATGCATATCTTCTTGCAGTCGTTTTTTGTCTTCGCATACTGTCTTCGAAGTGGTGTCATACAGTCCAATTTGATATTTGGATAAATCAGTAGACAACTGTCTGTCAAATGTCCTGGAAAAAATATAGCATTAGTTTGGCAAGTTTTATCAACCGGTAATTTTAACCTAGTTTTCTACTTTTAAATTCTGATACTTTAGAGCATTCAAAATTCTATTTTTTTGAACTAAAATACGTATCAGTCCTAAGTGCTTTAAAATGTGACCCCTACAGTATCTGTTAATTGGTAACCAATCTTCTATCTAAGATAAAATTTGGTGATGATGAAAAAGAAAAAAAAAGAATATGTGATTTCAAAAGACCGTTCAATGAATGACTTTTTCAACATCAATTTCAATCAAAATAACCAATTTCAATTCCCTCAGATATTCGGTACAGTATTAAACTAATGCATAGCTGATGTCATATGGAATTAAATTGAAAGCTGGTCTCAAAATTCTAATTCTACCATCAAAGTTCTTAAAGCAACTGTAACACTAACAAAACTACGCGCTTAGTGACAAACGCCTTCCAGCAAGCAGTAACTGCGAATAAAACTTTCAGAATGTTGTTAGTCAGAAATATTCGTGACTTATGCTATTGCTGCAAACAAACACTTGCGAAAAAAAAATTAATTACCATTTGTAGGCAATATATTAGAAATTACAGTCAGAAGAATAAGTGCAGGTAGCATTCTGGTAAGCTGATGGATGGATTCAGTGAATTTGTTGTCCAGCTACAACTATCACTGTTTATAGGTTAATCCCCGCTGCAGAGAAATCAGTTTTTGGATTAACACTATTCACCATAGCACAAAATCGTCGCGGGTCGGCAGTTCCCCACCAACAATACCCCAAAATAACGCCGTCTCGACCATAAAATTCAACTTTATGCCACCATTGCTGACCAATTTTGTTGTGTATTTACCTTCCACCAGTTCCACCCATCCAATAAACACGCCATAATTTCCTTTCCATTTTATGCGAAAAAAAAAGTAGTGAGTGAATGTCCAAAGCCACTGTACCACATCAGCTGAAGAAATATTTTTTTCAAACCAAAAACGTATTAAAATACACCTCGCTTTTTGAAAAATAAAAGTACGACTCAGTCCCTACAGTCAATAACAACAATCTTTTTTCTTCTCTTTTGAAGTACCAAAAGAATTTGAAAAACATCTTCTCTCTCCTTCCTCCTTCCAAAAAAATTAAAATCAAATTGAAAATCTGCAAAACGGTTCCAATAAAATGATATAGCTTTTTTATACATATCACTACAAATAATCTTAAATTAGTAAAACACTTTGCCAACCATAATACAAGCAGCAATAAAATTAAACATTAACAAGAAGAGAAAGGGAGTTTTTTCCTGTCATACTTCTCACTCCAGCCAAATTATTACGTGTAATACAAATGAAAAGTAACTAGAAAAGTTGCAAACTTCAGTATGACAACCTGGGACCCTTGAGTTAAAGACAGCAGTACACTTCAGTATGACCACATCAGACCCTTGAGTTAGCGGCAGGATATGGCATTTTAAAGTCGTTTGATAAACGTTCATTTAATACATTGATGACGAGTGACATACATATTATTAGAAGGAAAAATAGAAGTATTGATAAAACAACAAGTACATACAATATCCAATAACAGAGGATTACTGTTTTAAAATGTACCAGTCTCCGACGCACTCAGCCGTTGAGTGTTCTCCATCAGACTTCTCCAACAAATGGAGCTCATGAGAAGAAAAAAACAATCGGAACAACGCTCGTTCAGTACTCCTCCTCAAAACGATACAGTGCATCACAATCAAACACTTTTTGGACCTAGTAAAGAACGAGCAAAAATTTAACAGAAATAAAAAACGACTTCTGACACCCGATACAACTGAGCAAAAACTACAGAGTGCGAACTTTGTGAAAAATAACTGTCAAAACGCCCTTAAATTAGTTTGATCAGCAAGATGAGACGCATCTCCGCTATATTCACAAACAAACGACCCTGAATCAATTCTAGTAAATTTTGACACCGTCGCTTGGCCGACTGAACACCATCTCCCAATTAACACTTTATGAATTGCAGCAATAACAGCTCCATGACTAACAATCAAGATACAGCCTGAAAATACGCATGTCATAAAAAAACACAAGATTATCTAACAGACAAACCATTAACAGCCAAAATTGCACCCATCGCTTAAAGGTAAATTTATAGATACCAGAATAGTTGTTCAGAATATGGCGTAACGTCTCCCTAACACGCGGCAAACAGACGGAATCATTACGTACCTGCTCGTCAGCATAATTTAGGGATTCCCTCTGATATACCTTCAACAGAGATATTAAACGCTGAAAAATCAATCGTATTTGACTATCAAATGCAATCTATTTGTAAAATCCACTAGCTAACAAGTTCTGTGACTCAAAAAAAAAGGTTTTTTATTGTAAGAATTTCAAAATCTGTACATTTGAGACCAACTACTACTGCATTACATCATTTAGCACATACAGGTTCGTATCTGGTATCGATGTTTACATAGTCCTTCCTTAAAGAACCGACGTCACGGAATCCTGCAGGATTCATACACATGCATAATATCTAGAATGAAACGTATATTTTAATAAAGTACTCTTCTCACTATACAAGAAATTGAAAATGTGGGAAGAAGTAAACCTCAGCTAAACCAGGTTCTACTTTAATTTTTGTCCATCTCCCACCAAGGATTCTTGCTGTTGTTTCCATACAACGATCAAATGGAGATGAAAAAACATGGTCAAAATGCGTTTTCGAAAATCGGTAAGCGCACTCCTCGGCTTGAACTAAATTTGCAGAAAAGTTGAAAAAACAAAAACTGATTCAACTAACAAGTACCAAAGTAAAAGAAGTCTAAGAGCCCCTAACTTGAAGACGTTGCGGGTCAAATTGCATGACACTGACTCAGAAGTTTCACGTTCAAAAAACTGTGGCAAAAAAACGAATTTCGAATGAGTTCGAGCCATGAGTTAACAACGCAAAAGAAAACGAACAAACTCCACGTTCGGAAAGTGGTGAATCATCCTTTTCAAAACGTGACAGTTTGTAAAGTTCATGACGCCATAAACGATTGATATTGTCTTCACGTTCGCCATGTCTTACTGCATAAATCGTTGTAGTCTTCCGAAATCCGTGAGTCCCATTTGATGTTAGCAAAATAGTATTTAGAGCAACCTGTAACGTCTTTTGTTAAACCTGTTACTCAATCATCTGTTTCTGATTTCTTACGTATCACTAGTGACGGTAATGAGTAATAACAGCAATAACAAAAGGAATGAAGCAAGTACCTTCCGATGCATTTCCATCAAGCAACACGGTGGTTGAAACATAAACACGATTGCCGGACAAAACGACGTACAATAGAGGCAGTAGTGTTGATTCAACTTCCACAGTCTGGCCCAGATACATTTTGCCTGAATACAGTAACTGCTGCTGGTATTGTTTTCGCTAAACCCTTGTTGTTGCTTTTGCCGCTGCTGATGCTGCTGATGCTGCTGCTGCTGCCGACCACGTCTACAACTGCTGCAGCCGCAATACGTTACTGCACCATACATTCTGGCGGCAACTGCGCCCGCCACTCGCAATTGGCACATCATGTAGCTCATACGCCATTCCATTCATCATGACCATCGAACAACGACGATCGTTACCGTGACCGTTGTTCCGTTTGATGTTTTCTGGAAGAACTACCAGTCTAGAGCTCCAGTCTTTGCAAACAAAATCCGTTGTTTTCTTAAGTTATAAATGCATCTGTGTAGTTGTTATTTTACTGCCTTGACCTGAGCGTGCATTTGAAAATCAGAAGAACTATTCTAAGCTCCACTTGCAGAGCACTACAGCTTAGAGTAGCTCATCAGGTGTACCGTTTCAGTTACCAAGTTTGTCCGACTTCTGCAAGACTGTTGTTGGCGTTTCCAAACAACAGTAATCATTGAGAAGGGGAAGCATTTTTCGAGATAATTCAAGCAGCAGGAAAGGGCGGAATGAAGATCGCAAGACAGAATTGAACTGATCTATGCATTGTAAACTGGCAAAGCTGTGATATGAACGTGTTATATGAAGAACGCATGGGCTGCAAATCTGCTGAGGTCAGTATTCGAAACTTTTATGAGTAACTTCTGCTTCTGGTCTTCTTTTGTTTGTCGACGAATCTACAAAATTTCCGGCTGCTGCTAAATTCGTGCAGTCAAGGAAGGTTGTTTATCCGCTTCATCGAAATCTTTCTGTTGTTGACAATTATTTCTCAAAATTAAAAGGAATGAAATTTTTGCCAAGATGCTGGAAGTATTGTTGCTAACCTTATTCTGTTTTAGTTTGCTAAATGTGGCATTATAGAGAAACAGACTTTGGCTAAGCTACTAAAACTGCTATTTTACGCTAATTGGATGCAAACAGGCCTCGAAACTTACTACAGTTTTCGTTTACATTGTTTAAAATAGTAAAGAAGACTAGTGCTGGAATGGAAGTATAGGTAGAAATTGACATTGCAGTGTTTGTAGAACTGTTTAGGTTATTTAGCCCAAGCTCTTACTAAAGCCAATATATTGTAAGGAGCTGTGATGCTCTCACCTTAAAAGTTGTAAATAAAGATCTGTGTAGTGAAAATAGTCCGCACTTCAAAGGATATCAACTATAGTGTAAAAAGGAACATTTACAGATAGACTGCAAGTAAGATTACTGCAGTCAGCTGTCGGAGCACTTTATTAAGACCTGGAGGAAATGGAAGAGGATTCTTTGAGTAACTGGCGAAAAATCGGAAGTTGAATGCCACACGGACACTCAACTGAAAACGTCTCATTCTTTGGACACGAATATTCGCAACTCTGACACTGGGACCTTAGAGGATGGCCGGTGTTTAAGGTCTTCGATCTAATTTCGTAGTTAAGGTTTGTAGACGATTAGATGCTATGGAGGACGCTTTCTTTCGAGCAGTCTGCTGCTTTAATTCAGATACTGCTTTACACCGGAGTCTGTCCAAGCGTCGTTTTGACGGTATAATTTCAGACTTGTATGCGAAGAAGAGCGATGTGGTAAAGTAGAAGCGTAAAGAATATAATTTTCCTGTGGTTTTATTTGTCTGAGTGCTGTGGAGGAAGAAGACCTTTCCAAAACCAGCTTTCTTTTGTGCCGTTGCTTTTTATGGCCTTGCGTATCTCCTCCGAAGGCTTTATTTTCGAATGCTAAGGCTGACTTAATTTTGTTCTCTTTATAGTTGATAGAAAGACTTTCGCTTCTCAAAATAACTACGCCTTTAATGATTCTGTAATATTGGCAATTTTGGCTCATTTTGTTCAGATACCCAGCAGTTTTCTTTTGGACGATGTAACCACATTTTCCTTGTTTTAATATCTCTAGACCAAATTTTTTGTTTTAAAGATATGGTTCCGTTTCACCTACCGTTTACGCATACCAGAATGAGATATAGATGTTGTGCGTATTATAACTGCAAATTACGCCGTAGGAACAGTTTGAAACATATTTTGCTGATTGGAGTTCCCATGGTTCGCTAAAGCTTTAAGCATCACCGATGAATTAGCTGTTTCTTTAACAGGGTCTTGCCTTCTGCATTTTTCAAATTGTTATTCTTAGAAACACTGAACCAAGGACATTGAAAGTCTTACCAATACCACCCTGAAGCTTGTTGACTGCGATTAGAATAATTTGGAAACACTTGTTAATTTTAATTTCACACCTGTTTGCTTCTTCGACCTTACACCAAAACTTCTTTCTTCTACTTGCTTATAAATGGTGCATTTTCGATTAATTTCGTGAAAAAATTCACCAGCCAATAAAGCAAAACAAGCGTGCTTTTTCTTTGAGTGATCACCCAGAATAACGAAGACTGGAGCTTGCTTAGCAATTACTCTAGCAACGAACGTTAAACAGCTTTGCATTTTAAAAGATGTTTGACTTATTTGCACCATATATATATGTGTATATATATATATATATATATATATAT